ATGGGTATCGGTCAAATCCGTCATGCTCTATAATTTACATACAAAGAGCGATGTAACAAACGCTTGATTGACGCGCTATAGTTATAAGTGTTTAACTCTGTGTCTGTGACGATAAGTACACCGTTTATCATGACCTGTGTCTAAATGTAAATACAGCATGGTTTGTAATTAAAGTAATAGTTTATTTCATATTTTCGCTAATTTCTATTTCGTGCGATTAAAATTTCGTTGGGATTATATTTCATGGTTTTCTTTAAACCACGAAATAAACGAAATTAAATCCCCAACGAAATATTATGCTTTTACAGTAATCTGTATTTAACGTTGAAATAGTGTCTCATAGGTCAACTTGGCCGGATAATTAATTCTATCAATTTTGTTTCAACTAGAAACTTTAAATTGTGAATGGATATGTGACTCTTTAATAAAATAAATTATTATTATAAGGGTTAATATATATCACAAGACATCCAATCGACATTAGCCTATAATTGGATGACAACACGTAATCACCTTTTGTCATGCTGTGTACACAAACGCCAATCATGTCGTCGTTGAACAGCACTACTACGTGACCAGTTTCTGTGCAGGATTATATATATTGCAAAGTTACTGTACCGTTACAGTCCAAATATACGGAAATGTATCAGTGAAAAATGTTAACAAATAACTTCAACGTTGGTGTCTTCTGTGTTTGAGTGTCAAAAAAACGTATAGCATATTTTCGGTATTACCGTTTAATGACAAATTGACTACACTGTGTCGTCCTTATGTTAGGTCGACAATTCAAATAAACAACAAAATACCGACAGTTACACATTGAATATCATTATACAATACAGTACTTATTGATGCGATGCTAAGTTATATCGAGGACTTAGATAATCTGAGTCCGTGATTATATTTATCTCGAAAATATAATTGAATTATGAAGGTTAAACTTTTTCTCTCCATATACATGTAATATACACAAGTTATAATTTAACATCTTGGTTCAATAATGTAAAGCAACTCGATCCACTCCTTTAGCCGGCTTAGTTTTAAAATTTGGGTACAGGTACATCACACTAAACACACCGTGTCCAGTGCTTGATTGATAGGTTTTGCGTCCGCTTCACTACCGAGTAGTTTGGATAATCACAGGTAAAATATACAGGTGTGAAACCACGTGATTATGTGGCTTTTCAAAGCAATAAACTGAATTGAATTGGATTACCAGGTACAGTTTTCTTACCTGTGGGTCTTACCTGGGAATCTCCAATTAACTCATTACAGCATAATTATGACAGTGGTAATACAGAACTTGTGTGGTGTTTGATCACACCTCTAACCCCCTTAGAGCACAGGTCTGTTATTTCAACCGGCAGGTGTGATATGCTTGAATCTACCTGAAACTATGCTTTACCTGTGACTACATGTGCCATTGTAATTATCCATGTATACAGCTAATAATGTTTAAATATCATATCAGCATGGTAATAATGTAATGTGATCGCACTGCCAAAGTATTATAAAACATTTCTAATTTACATTTATATCATGGCAGCACCCCTACCTCTACAAAATTATAGAAACAACCTATATACTGAAAATATTCCGTTATCATAATTCTAATCAAAGACGAATAAAACCAGTATATACGTACGTATCCGCTATAATTTTGTTTATGATACATTGTATCTTATTAAACATTATTAATTCAATTCAGGTTATTGCATTGGATATCCACATAATCACGTGGTTTTCACACCTGTACATCTTACCAGTGATTGACCGAACTACTCGGTAGTGAAGCGGACGCAAAACCTATCAATCAAGCACTGGACACAGGTGTGTTTAGTATTTTGTACCTGTCGCAAATTTCACACCTAAGCCGGCTCAAGGAGTGGATCGAGATGCTTTTCATTATTGAACAAAGATGTTTAATTATATCTAAGTCCGTGGCATTACACATCAATAAGTACTGTATTGAATAATATCAAATGTGTAACTGTCGGTATTTTGTTGTTTATTTGAATTTTCGACCTAACATAAGGACGACACAGTGTCGTCGATTTGTCATTAAACGGTAATACCGAAAATATGCTATACGTTTTATTGACATTCAAACACAGAAGACACCAACGTTGAAGTTATTTTGTAAATATTTTTACTGATACATTTCCGTATATTTGGACCGTAGCGGTACAGTAACTTTGCAATATATATAATCCGGCACAGAAACAGATCACGTAGTAGTGCTGTTCAACGACGACATGACTGGCGGTTGTGTACACAGCATGCACCAGAGTGTGACGAGAATTACGGCCCGTGATATTCTTGTCAATCAAACAACAGCGGAGCATCGACAAGAACATCAACCAATCATCGCGAGGGCCCACCTCTCTACCGCGCGTGATTGACAGGTATATCAACCAATGAAACGGTGCCATTTTCGTGTAAGATCAGTGCACAGAACTTATCTTAACACCTACTGTATATCAATTACATCATTCACACGGCAATATATTTTATCTATATATGTATATGATAATGATTACTAATACTACTGGAACTATGAGTAAAATGTACTGATACCTAACATATTACGTTAATACAGAGAAGGTCTCTGGTTATGATATAAAGGAAACCAAAACAAAATACCTTTAGTTTATATATTATTCTGATTGTCATGGTTGACCTGAAGCGGAAACGTATATACTACTTACGGCTTTATATGTCTCTGTCTGAAGACAGGTAATACAATATTCAATATTAATTCTGATAATTCATATATTTAACAACCGGATCACGCTTAGCCTTTTATATAAGAAGTTTCATAGGTTCTAAATTTTAGTAATCACAGGTTCGTTAGACGAGAGCAACTGTTTAGACTATACACCAAAGTCGTATATATTGTAATATAACGTCTCTGGTTAAGAATAATGCTCTATTTTTTTTCTCTCTTTACTTTATACAGTTTTGATAACTGACATACGGATGCACATTATCTTTCTGAAATGGTTAAGTTCGCTTTAAATGAATAAAGAAACAAGATATTTCGAAAATTTCGTTCACTTTAAACACATAAGTGTACGTAACTTAAATGGTATTTTTTCTAATGAAAGCCTTTGTGGAGATCATTGTCATTATCACTCGAAGTTTCAACAACCCGGGAGCTTACATTGCTGTTTTAGGAAGTTAACAGGAGTACCTCGGATACCAGATGTGTAACTCATTAGTGTATTCATGCAAAAGATACATTGTTGAAATGTAAATATACATTGTTGAAATTCATACATTCCGATGACGTCACGTTGTTGACTGACAGGACGGCTGGATTGTGTGTTCATTTACATACGTTTACTTTGATGACATAAATGGACGCGTTTTATGTAAAGAAAAAGGCTATAAATATAAGGATTAACTTTCTATTCAATTTAGGTTATCGGGTGATAACTACAATGGAACCCGGGTAAATTATTTTTTCTTTATCACCCGATAACCTAAACTAAATAGAAAGTTCAACCTTAAATATTATAACATGAAACATTAAATCAGAAGGGATATTCTTACGACAGTACAGGAAAGATAAAGTTCCATTTAATTGAAATTATATCAGTAATGATTAAAAAAACACCAAAATATGAATAAAATACATTTATGTTAAATACAATAGAAATTAAAAGCTGAGAGGACAGGTGATCGGGAATCTCCTTACTAAGAGGATTATATAAATCACAAAACTATTAACAACATAAAAAACGATTGAAAGGTATATGAAGCAAAATAGGAACGTAAACTGTCTTAACATATATATATATATACAGTGGTTCGTTTATGAACATTTACCTCGGACCGAACGGAGCCGGGGGATATAGTTTACGTAATATAAGTTGTATACGACATCGGGACGTACTTATCATTCGTCATTAAATATCGTTAATATTGAGAGTTCATATTGTGTCTTTGATTATTATATGAGTGATCAGAGACGTATATACTGGCTTCATGTGTCCCTGGAGTGATGTATCAAAGCACCAGTTCAGCAATACGGTAAAAGTTATGCATTATTCTCAAATGGTCGTTCATTTCGATCCTAACCCTGGCCGTAGTACAAAATAAGCATTATTTCCTTGGTCTTTATTTATTTCATTCGAAGTAAATATAAGTGTACTATCGACCTGTGTTATTATATCGTTTTGATTACGGAATTAGAGCAACCGTCGTTGCATAGCTATACCGACAACACGGCCAGCAAGGCAGGGACTATAGACTGCCTCACCTGTACGGGCTTCGCCGGAGCGCGGCTACATCAAAGGGAATACCGCTGTGCGAGTGAGCGGGACAACGACTTAATTTTCGGGGGCCAACGACCAGTTTTCGGGAACAAAGGCACAATCTTATTGAATTGTTATGTTCCTGAAAATTGGTTGTTGTCCCTGAAAATTGGTTGTTGTTCCTGAAAACTGGTCCATGTCCCGATAACTTGGATATGGTTTTTAAATTTAAATGGTGCTCCGCTAATTTGGAGAGTGTTTCCGTAATTTGGGCCATGCAAATATGATTTAGATTGTACATCATTAAGTTAGCCATGCATAGATTATTTAGCTGGTACGTCATTAAGTTCGGTCATGAATTTATGATTTAGATTGTGTTTTGTAAAATTCAATGCTAATTGAAGTTTACTGGTATAATAAGGTAGATTAAGTCGTAGAATTGATTTTTTCGCTCTTAAGTGATTCTCAGTGGAGTCCATCAATAAAAGTGGATTTCCACAGGGATTGTGTATAGTAGAATAAATTATAAAGATTAACTTGAATATGTTTTTCATGTTACGGAGCTATAACACAAAAAACCGGAGTGTACTCTCATCATAAACCCCTTCGCGGTTTATTTAGAGTACACTCCGTTTGTTTGTGTTATGTCTTCATAACATGAAAAATAAATTCAAGTTAATCCTTATATTATACGGAACACATTTATGTGCTGTAGTGGTATCAAGTACAAGCTTAAGTCACCTTCGAGAAATTGCTGCAAGTTTTCCACGTGCGTTCTTGAAAATCATTGTCCATGAGGCCCCGTCTGCTACGCCATCTATCTCCAGGAACATGTGACCTTTATGTGACGTGCTGATGCATGTGAGGCACACGGGTACGCCCTCGCACGTGGTACACTCCATCATGACGATGCGTTCCGGATGATTTGTACATATCCTTTCATTTACCTCAGAACGAGGTTTGAGGATACTGGTTTCGGTCTTCATTCTGACGTCACAAGTTTACCATTTGTTTATATCGTTGTAACTGCAAATTAAGAAAATAGCGAATAAAAGATACTGATCCAGACTCCGGGATCACAAAGCTGAAATCTATATAGTATACTAGTTACTGCTTTATATTGAGAGAATTGTTCGTAGATACAATGAATGGATGGCAAAAATATATAACTCAAACAGTAGTTGAGCGGATTTGAAAGTTAAGTGTCGTGATGTCGAAACCGAATATTACAAGTGTGATTTGTTGCTATATTCAGCTAGCTTAACCCAGTCTTAAAGGTGGTCATATGAAACAATCGGTACATAAGATTATAAGTGACGATTCATTACAGATAAGAAATATGCAAGTAACGAATATATTGACAAAATTAAGCATGTTTTAAAACTACAAAAACACGATGCCATTAGTTATAATACTATATGTTAAGTCGGGCAGCTAGATACTTTCTAGTCCATTACAAGCAAAAATAATATTTGAGTTGTATGCTAAGTAACAAGCATATAACACCGATACTACACGACGTGTAAAAGGCGCGCATGACAATTGGCCAGACTCCCGATCTTACACCAATATCCGGTTCCGGAGGTTGACCGTCGAGGCAACCCTGATTGCCTGTTTTAATGTCACTCATATATTTTGCCACAGCGAACTGACCAGTAAACGAGAAAGACAATTAAGTCTATGACAAAGGCTGCGGTCATCAGCATATCAACACATGTCTAATTATGTACTGGGATTGTACATATACCAGCAAACACCCACGGGAGATATCACGAACAACCGGGTAAGACCATCCCTTAGACGAGCAAGACCAACTTATTTGTGCTTAGTCATGTCAAAGCGAAGCAAATAATGGTTGCTATTTTCATGTTCTTCTTTCAGTAATGACGTCTAAATATTGCATTTCTATGTATACACACTCCAACCTAAACCTTAAAGCAGCATCACTGGTCTGACCAATAAATCGGAAAGCCAATCAATGAAGTCGATGTATATGTGTTGTAAACAAAGATAATTAAATGCCCATTACTTATACTTTGGCACGGAAAACTGTTGCTTTATAGTCTTGGCATTTGGGTTTGAAATATCTCCACAAAAGGAGTAAGTCTCTTTCATTTTCCTACAATAAACAGTTACTAGAATTGGGATCGTCGAAAAAATGGCTGATCAATTACATACAAAAGCGAAAAAGGTATCCGATTGTCGTTTCCGATCACATTCTCGAAATTGTAGGATATCAAACCGTCTGTCTCTGTCTGTCTTACGACTTTTTAACTTTACAGGAATTGATTTTAAAACTATTTGTGTAATCATTTTTGACATAGCTCATGCGTTTGGTAGTTTCAGTTAAATAGCAAAAATTTAAATAGCATTTCTAAACAGAAAAGAACAATTTCATGTCGGAGACCATAAGAATTGTGATGTCTTTCTTATTCTTTAGTATTCTGTTTTGGCTTATTGTTAAGTCAGGTTACACAAGTAAACAAAGCTAGCGCAATAACAGAGATCAGCTGCCAAATTGCTACAGTAGTCCAATATAGGGATGATGCTCTATTTACTGTCAATAAAAACTTGTATCGACAATATGGTTGCAGAAATATTTCATCCTTGATAACACTGCATGTGGGCATAAAAGCGACCCAAATAAATATATTGAATCCATTGCAACATTGTATATCTTCATAGTTTCTCTCTAAGTTTTTAATAACCAGTTTGGTTACTAGCGCCTTGTCTGGTAGTATCACTCTTTAGGCTTTAATTGTGAACGTTTGTACAAGTGGGGAAGGCAATTTGGTCTGTCACCAGGACAAGATAACGATGGTAGTACTAAGGGTATGGTATTTCACTGATGTAGTGCCCTTGAGTCGGCATCAGATTCGCGCTATCGCAAAGACAAAAACGCTAACATACCGCTTCCAGTAAACATTCACACATACATAACACACACGGTGGCATGTCATTTTATTACTTTATTTATTAACAGCACAAAAGAAAAGAAAACAAATACAATCATATTTGGTAAAATGTTTGCCTATGTTTACGTACGTTGTGATATATAATGTACACCCACTACAGCTATGTGTATGTGAGCATCAGACATCCCCATTGACCTGACACAGATAGCCGAGTTAAAAGATTATATGAATCCCGAGTCAAGACGACCATTCTGTCATATAATAAAACCTAATATGAGCAAATATTCGATAATCTGTTTAGCCAACGTCACTGCTAGACTTGTCATATGTATCTGTGGCTATACCGGAAGTCCTTTCATTGATCGGTTTCTGCAACTTGTTTTGGTATCTCATGATGACTTTACCGGAGGTGATGTCACACGTTTAAATGACAACACCAAGTAATTATGTTCTATTTCGATGCCTTTACTAGATTTTCTATAGAAAAATGTTATCAGATGACGTCAAAATACTAGCCTTGAACGGGGCTAAACTATATTTTGTAAGATGACTATACTTTACCGGAAGTGCTACAATGTACTAAGAACGGCCCGTGCCTACTCTACTGTAAACAGACCAATAAGACAAACCGACAGCACCGTGTGACTGCACTCCTTTGTGATGTATGCGCTAATCCACTCGGAATCACGAACTGCAACACACTTGTTATTGCTGTACGGGTCTGAATTAATTTGAAATGAAAAGCATATTGGATTTTCTCTTAACCGATGACGTATATTCAACACAACTATATAAACAAAATCCGACGCTGTCATCACAGGATAGTAACCTTATATCCTTCAGACGTAGCGGATCTAAGATTAAGTTAATTTTATATTCTTTGTATGTTCATTATACTTTTTAATCAGAAGTCTGAATGTAAAGGCGAATTTATACCAGTTATTAATGTGAAAAACAGCAACATTTAATTGTAAAAAAAGACATAAAGAACGCTTGTCTACCATAACAAAAGTGAATGCAAATAAACTGGGGTATAGGGAAGCTGTAGTCGCTGGATCGTAAACAAATACACAATATCGGTTGTTCTTTTTGACTCTTTTTAATCTGAAACGGTTGATTTATTGATCTACCAGTGCACAACTTGGGTTGCTGCCAACAGTGTGCACAAAAAACATATAGACAAATAAATAATACATACATTGGTTCACTTCGTTAAGGTCAATACAGACTTATCCTATGACTGTTTCCCTATCAACGACACATGTGTTAACACAGATAGTTAACATTAGAACAGGAAGGCAATACTCATCAACCAACCTCTACAAATATAATTAATTCCGCCCTTTCCTATGAATACAGATAGTGAAATAGAATTACCTTAGATAGCGTTCTGTGACGGGAAATGGTTTCATCAGGAGATTTCTGCCATCCGCGCTCGACCGACCGCAATATAAATAGTACACATTACATACAAAATGTTATGAACATAAAATATGTATTATTCATAAACCGCTTTACAATTGGTGATCACATAGTTTAACATTTATTTAAATAGTCTATGTACCGGAACCATGTTAGTCTCGGTGTATGTTTTATCAGTTCCAGCTGGTTTCAATAAGTTTTGTTAATGGAACATTGCTTATCGTATGTGCATGAGGTGTTTCAGTGAACAATGTCTACGTTAAACAAACTACTTTCGGATCAACATGAAACGATGCTAGCGATAAACAATAACAATGGAGAGTAGATATTGGCTATGATAAAAGTTCCTGTTTGAATTGTCAAGCTGATGAAATAGAAATATCGGGTTCTGCTCATTATTCATCATAGACAATAAGGTAACGGAACTCCTCTGGGTCTATCGTTGGTGACCGGTCGGGCGGAAACACATACACTAATTCGTTTTATTGTGACGTTTTGTTTAAACAGACGTCTATTGTCTACTGTGATTTATGTCCACCCGTACAAAAGACAGATATAATCACACAGATACGGCAGTGAAGTGTGTCCTTTGTGTGTTGGATTCATATGCAAAGAACCCTAATAGGTTTACGCACCAAGATCTGGCTAAATCATTTAAAGAATATACTCTGAAACAGTAAGACAGTTACGGGGTATTTTCTATGGTAAAAACTGCGATTATATTGCACGTTATTTTGCTTAAATGCTACAAAGGAAGAATGCATTCCAGTGTCGTTTTGACATATACACTGACTTTTTGGCTTTTATTATTTACGCTCAGATTGTATATATAACTACAAACCGAATGGCTTTTTATTTGGAATTCTCGGCTGTTTTTGTCGCTACCGTCGTATATCAAACGAAATAGGAACGTCCGGAGTTCATATTGATAGCGTCTTCCTATTTGTTCCTGGTCTGTTGTTGCTATGATAAACATTAGTATTTCACTTTGCTATGCTTGAATTCTGTGGTGTTGTATTTTTTTGCAATGAACACACTCATATACCAATTAAATTTCGGCTAAAATGTGTTTTTTGAGTTAGCTTTAATGTAACAATGTATCAAGCCGTATTCGTTGAGTGTTTTCAGCAGTCTGACATCAATTTATTGAAATTATTTAAATATTCGGATTGTTATCTGGGCACAGGGCACAACTGCAAGTGGCATATAAGCACAAATATGGAGAATCTATAATACTAGTAGTATACCATTATATACTATAGACATTTTTTTCACAAGTACGAAGCACGGGTGAAGATTCAGTATTCCAGAGGTTATTCCGAATATCATGACTTCATGATAGATCGTCGAATAATGACGGACAAACTTATAACACGAGGTTTCCTTAGATGCAGATTAATGAAGGCGAATGTTTTATGGTCGCGATGATGAGCTCATAGAAATATGCATTATTTCTTGGTTAAAATGTAATAAATATGTATAACTCAAGAATAATAACTTCATATCAGATCATTATTATCAGTCACGAAAACACCAATGATGATAAAGAAAAAAATACCCAATAAGTAATAAATATACAAACCGAACGCGGTTATTTGCGAAGAGACATAAAACGGAGCTAAAAAAATTGATCACTAAAAATTGACGTCACAAACCCCCACAAAATAATGTAATAACGGATGGCGGATATAAGTTTGAAATAAAAGCCCAGGTTTTCATTACTACTTTGCAAATACAACAGAAAAGTTAATTGAAGACTTGAAAGAGATAACTCTCTATAGGACTTAATGTTTACACCTGCATGGCGGTAATGTCACCGTAAATAACATATCATATGCGTATGATATGATGATGACTTCATGAATAACCCAACGGCGTTGCTCATCATGTTTGTATACATACAGTGCTGACACTGACGTTCGTTAGTCGTAATTTAAATGGTTACTCTGCATGGGACCTGTTTTTCACACACACCAGCCTATGCTGTCACTCCAAAATGCACATGGTATGCGTATAATTTTGTTTTGTAGATGACTCTATAAATAATTCTACGGTGTGGGTCACCATATTAATCTTGTTACCCTTTAAACAGCGCTGCTATCTGACGTTCTCTTATTGTAATTCCGACGACGTAAATAAATGATGGCCGTCTACATAGAAAACAATGCCAAATTTACGTCAACAGTCACGAGCTCTAACCAGGAACAATAATATAATGCCCTTTAGAAGATTCGCTTTGAAAACGTGTTTCATTATAACCAATATTCAACCCGTATAATGATTATTTTACGAAAATGAAATATTGTTTGTTTGCACGCGATGATTGCACGCGCCATACCTACCGCATGGTGCTTCTCGTCTGCACATTTGCACAACAGACGTTTCTCGCCAGCCCCCGCCATAATGATTGGCCCAGGTGATCTTTATGTACATGCAGCGAGAGTTTGAATACATCCATGAGATTGGATCTGTTTTACTCATCAATACGGACAATACATGATTAAATAATATTCATTTAGTTTTTGTAATAAATATTTATTCCCTCCAGGGACAAATATTGGCAAGTAAAATGTTTCCAATTTCATTATAGACATTAATGTGTCATTTGAGACCATTATTGACATCATCCGGAACACAAACATAAATTGAAAATAGGCTGCATTTTAAATGGCGCTAACTACCGAGGGGAGGGAATGTTATAGACATAATACAAATTCCCATTCAATATCTAGTCAGAACTAAAAGCGAACACACTACACCCGTTAGTCACAATTATCTATGTATAACATGAATGTTCGTGGTGTATAAACATTTTACCTTGTCCTGTACTACGGCGGTCCCCTACTGTGAAGGGAGACTACTGTACAACATGAAATGCTCGTTGTCTATAAACATTCGTGACTTTCGTGGATGCTTTTGAACCACGAAAATAAATACAACAAATTTGAATGAAATACGTGTCTTCTGTTGTTTGTTACACAGTAATATGGGATATCTAGGAAGTTTGTACCACGTTACGGTCTTAATGGCTTCAAATCACGAAGAAAAGTACCCACGAACATTTCGTGTGATACAGCATGTATACCTGGTCAGTAATACTGGTATACAAAAACAACACATCATCAACATCTAGTCATATGTATCTACATATGATAGGACTGAGGTCACAATTAAATGCTTCCCGGGTTCAGTACCCCTACGAATGAAGTCCCTTAGAAATATGGATATTTTATTAAAAAAAATATACTATGCCTCTTAGAATTTGGTATTTGTATAAAAGTTTAGTGTTGAAATATTCTAGAGATATCAATCTAACAATTTCTGTGTAAAATGTTAATATTGTGCATTTATTATTTGGAACAGTGTACTGTGTACATGTGAAAAGCCCTGTGTTTAACTGTACCCCTGATCCGGAGGTTTATATTTGACATTGGTGACACATGCAGACGATTATCTCAAGAAAAAGGCCAACATGCTATGTTGAAATTTTAATATTTTACAACCAAAATGTTGCTTTTGACCAGGTTAGATGGAAAGTTGGCTATCAAATATTGGGATTATTTTATGAAATCAAATGTTACAATGAAAGATATAGTAAAATTAATTGTGGTCTTAGTCCATATACCATATGTTCAGTTCTACTAAATTACTAACTCCACAAGGTATTACACTGTACCAAGTACTTATGATCCGTTTAGTCGGTCCCATCTATTTTACCGTTTCACCACTTTATTGATCTAGACATCATGGTGTTGGTTCAACATTGCTTCAAAATTAAGGTGACAAGTTGTCGATTCGCTATCGGATCCGTATTCTCCTAACTATACAGACTCGGTATGAACACCAAAATGAACGATTAAGAATTTATAAACTGTAAGAATTTAAGGAAATCTTTCTAAATCTTAAACAGAGTACGCTGGTTACGTGCTATAGACATCGTATATAAGTAGCCTTTTCTTACAACCTCTCAGAAGGGCCGCGGTGGCTAAGTGGCTAAGTGGTTAAGGCGTCTGACATTCTGCTACCACTAACTCTCCAACACTTGGTCGCGGGTTCGAGGCCTACGCGGGACAGTCGCCAGGTACTGGCCGTAGGTTGGGGGTTTTTTTCCGGGAACTAAGGCGTTTCCTCCACCACCAAACCTGGCATGTCCTTAAATGACCATAGCTGTCAATAGGACGTGAATTCAAACAAACCAATTCTTACAATCTAGGGAATAGAGACTATTCAAAGAATCTTAAATGGACATTTTGTTACTCTTTGGAGTGTAAACAGCACGTTTGAACTCGTTTACGCAACATTAAAAACCGTTTGAAGAGAACCAGAAAGCTTGCCCGTGTTCCTCAGTAATAACTTCTATGAGCAACCAACACAGAATCGTTACTTAGTTCTTCATTTGATTAAACTATATGGATATCTATATAATAGTTTATGTGATATAGTTTATGCCTGGACAGTTTTGCTGCAGCTTCACTTTCGCCCATTACTGATTTTGTTATGAGGGCGAATTTATCAAGGCAGCGAACATTACTTCACAATATACCGTGTATAGTATTTACATGTGTAAGGCGAAATTTACACTTATTGTTTTTTTTCGGTGACGGGCAAACGTTTCACTCGACAATAATATTTGACACTTGGAAAATATCTGTTCGAAATCTTAAGATGAAAATAATACGTCAAATCTGAGAGTTTTGGGTCTTAAATGACAGGTGAGGTACAATGTATGTACTTGAAAAAACCTTTGATGTTTAACCGTCTTTCAATCATTTCAAATACACCCCATCTGTCCTGCTGCAATAGTCTCGACATTATGTATCCTTGATTTGGTAACTAAACTTTTATGATTTTCTAGTCTGTATGCTTACTCTAACTACTAATACGTTTGACTAAGTAAAGACCACCATGTTCAGAAGTTAAAACACGTCAATAGTGGCTAAAATCTTCATTGTCTCTGGGGTAGCCAATGAGTGTCACGCATGACTGAACTAAACGAAAGGAAAGAATTCCAATCAACAAAACGTATCCTATTCTACC